CTTTTAATTAAATATCTTCAAATTAATTCAGTGGGAGCATTGTTTACTATGAAAAGTAATGCAGCATACAAAGAGATAAAGAAATAAAATAGACAAGACAATGTTTCACTCACCGTAATAATGCAGTATTTTGTATTGATCAATCAGTAAATTCGTTGTTGTAGACATCATTGTAATGGTAGACTGTCGCATTCCGGAACTTCTCGGGCCTTTTTACCGACGTAGAAGGAAAACAGAGAGTTCCGATGAGTCTGATAGTCTGGTTTCGTTCTCCTCTATTCGGTTTGCAACTGTATCAGTTGCAAACTCCACAACCCCCCTCCCGAACCTCCCCCTCCCTCCCTCGTCGCTTCGCTCCTCAGGTGGCTGCCTTTGGCAGCCACAGAGTGGCCCCCCAATTGTCAGAAAGGAGGGGGGCATGTACACAAATGTCATAAATCCTGAATGCAACCCTGCATCTACATAGTTTTATATACAGTGACTCAACATACATCTACAAAGGTGTTTATATACAGTGACTCAGCAAACAGATCTACAAAGATTCATAAACAGTGACTCAGCATACATCTACAAAGGTGTTTCTATACAGTGATTCAGCATACATCTACATAGTTTTATATACAGTGACTCAGCATACATTTACAAAGGTGTTTATATACCGTGACACGGCATACATCTGCAAAGTTTTATATACAGTGACTTGGCATACATCTACAAAGTTTCATATACAGTGACTCAGCAAACAGCTCTACAAAGATTCATAAACAGTGACTCAGCATACATCTTCAAAGTTTTATATACATTGACTCAGCATACATCTACAAATGTGTTTATATACAGTGATTCAGCATACAGCTACATAGTTTTATATACATTGACTCAGCATACATCTACAAAGTTTTATATACATTGACTCAGCATACATCTACAATGGTGTTTTTACTCAATTGATGTGGATACCAGCATGTTGTATAAATACAGGGTGGCCACCCCTGGGGTGAAGGGGCAGAGCTAAAGATGAGAAGTATTTGAGAATTTTGCTTGTTTCTATTTTCATCAAAGTCACAGGCTCCTTTAGGTCAAATTTAGGCGGAATTGGTCACACTTCTTCCTCCATATGCCATGGCCACTTATTATTATTGTTGGTAGGGTGATGTGATTGTTTGTCAGGACGTTCAGTGTTGATGTCTCACTGTGATGTGATTGTTTGTCAGACGTTCAGTGTCGATGTCTCACTGTGATGTGATTGTTTTTCAGAACTCCCAGATGGAAGCTGCCGAAGATGAACAGGAAAGTGAGAGTGACAGCGAAAGTGACGAATCAGAATCAGGAAGAGGACGTTTCAAGTCAGAGCGTGCCAAGATCGTCACCACAACAACAGTGAAAGCCAAACCAAGAGACATTGATGCTATTCCAGACACACTAGGTAGTTGTTAATTTTGTTCATGACCTTAATGATGTAGTGTTAAGGTAGCTCCACACATCGTCATCAGCGTCCATTTTCGTGACGTACTTCCGGAAAAAGTCCAGCTCGGACTCAATTATCTTGATCGAAATGTGTATGTACACCATGTCGTCATTTCCGTATTGCGCATCGGGCATTCAATATCGTAGTGCAAATTATAGTTACACCAGGGCCGTTTTCGTTTAAACGGTCAAACCGATTGGACCACTGTTTTTCGTTTATTAAATAAGGTCGGACCTAGTAATCTGATGCTGCTTTCAGGCGAGCCTTGAGAAAGCCTTGCAAGGCCTGCATAAACATTTGCAGGTTCGCCAGGATTTATACCCGATATTGTTACATTTATAAACAGTCAAACTGGTTGTTCCGCATAAACGAACAGGCCCCTGGTAAACAATAGTACATGTGCGTGCAGATGATATGTCAACACCCGATATCGAGATTTTACCAAGAAATGTATAATCACACGTACTTCCGGAATAAAGCTTTCCAATTCATAGACATAAACAGACTCACGGGAAGACCGTGACATGAGACCAGATGACCTCCAGAAGGTCATATAGGAAACACATGGAATGCGGACGTACCGACCTCACATGTGCATATCATATACTTACACGAGTTCTTAAGCTCGAGGTCGTTACGATTTTCGCTGTTGAGGGAGTTTCGCTCTGTAGATTAAATCGTGTTTACAAATGTAGTCTACTTACTCTGTGAAAATAATGTTTTGTAAAATATCAAGATACCTATGAAATGCATGTGTTAGTGCACGTGAGAACGGCATACCATACGATAGCCTCTGGTCTCATATGTAACTGACATGTAATTAAAAGTATACCTTGAGTTAGCGGACTGTGGAATGATGTCTAAAGTGTACATGACTGAGGGTAATTTGGTTCCATTAAAGAACAATAAATTGATAGTTTTGATATCATATTTTTGATTTATTTCCATCATTTTTGTTATATGTAAACAGAGACAACTGTCATTGTGTAAATGTCATCCCTCTGCAAAAAGTTCCAATTTTTTTCAAGGAAGATAACTCTCAACCGGATCAAAGTGATTGTAAAATGTAAAATAAATTAATTATAAAGCCATTGTGTATATTTTGTTCACTTTACCATTCTATATGTATAGATCTTAGTGTCCTGTTTGCTTTTAGCTTGTAGATAATCACTTTTATTCGTACAAATTCAATAAAAAACACTTTGTGTAACATGTGTTACATATTTTGCTATAAATAAAATATTTGTAGGGTTAATTAGAAATGCTTCTTTTCATTTTGTTATTGTTGTTATTGTTCCGAACAATGCCACACACACAAAAAAAACGGAAAATATTAAAATTGACGAAAATTTAATTTTTTGGTATTTTTTCCAAAAAGTCCCCAAACTATCGGAATGTTTAGATTTTCATAAAATCAACTCTACATAGTTGCATAACCATAATATGAAAGTTTCAACAAATTTTGCTGGTTAATTGCGAAAGTGTGGAGCCACCTTAAATGACGTCAGTATTTTATGTTGTAATTACACGTGTCTCTCAAACTGAATTGACATTGTTTAAAATCATTGATGATTTGGTATGATCAACAGTTTGATGTACCATATGTCAACGCATGTGATGCTTTCATATGACATTCAGATAAAATAGGTTGTTTATTATATACAGGGGAACCGACTTATCATTGTATTGTAATTGCCAGAAATAACAGATATATTGTAATAAATGATCAAGCTGTGTTCGGTCATTTTTAGGTTGTCTGAACCGGAATGAGATGCCCTATGATTGTCAAACACATATAGATGTGGGAACATGGGAAGATGTTAATACATACTGATATTGTTATAATTGAAATAGATTTTTAATTGTTTAATATTTAAATCAGTGTTTGAAAAATATTAAAGAAAATTGCATTTTGTCCCTGTAATGGAAGTTATATGTTCACTTTCAAAATGACTTTGAGCAATTCCTCGGAACTAGCCTCATACTGCATCCTAACTAACGATACTGTAATGTAACATTCAAAAGGATGAAAGAAGTGATAAAATAATCATTATTTACTGATTTTGCGATAAAAAGGTGTGTGACATGTCCCATAAAGGTAGTGTGTACTTTACTGCGCTGGGTCAATAATTATTATATATGGGATAGAAACAAAAGAACCAAAACACAAATTATTTCCGTTTTTGGTTTTAAGTTATCATGAATCCCATTCAAGGAAAATAATGTACATGTATTGTAAATAAATCAGTCTTTGTGATTTCAACAATTTTTAGCTCACCGGGTCCGAAGGACCATACTGTGGCGTCCGTCGTTCGTACGTCAACAATTTCTTCAAGCGACTTCTTCTTAACCACTGATCGGAATTTAACTAAATTTAAATGGAAGCAACACCAGGTGGTGGGGATTCAAAATTGTACAAATGGTGAGGCTGACCCCCCAGGGGGCTGAGGGCGGGGCCAAAAGGGGGCAATTTGGCTATATTGCTACAAATGACTTCTTCTGTAGAACTATGCACTGGATAACAATCATATTTGGTCAGAAGCATTCATGGGAGGCAGGGATTCAAAATTGTACAAATGGTGGGGCTGACCCCCCAGGGGGCTGAGGGGCGTGCCAAAAAAGTTAATTACTTGAAAATGGTTGAGATCCCCATGGTATACAATTACTGAGTATTATAAAGAGAAAATGCACATATGCTTCCAGGATAGTTCTGGGGTCTGGCCCCACCCTTGGGACATAGTCCCTGTTTCGTAACTTTGAAACGGTTGAGATCCCAACCCCAAAACTATATATATAAATGCTTGGCATAAAGAGACGAGTGCAGTCATGATATTAGAATAGACCCTGGGGTCTGACCGAACCCCTAGGGACCTAGTTTCTGAGTCACACCTTGGAAACAGTTGAAATCCCCACCCTATAACTGTATATATAATTGCTGAATGCACATATATTTCTAGGATGGCCCTAGGCAGGGTTTGCCCCACCTTGGAGATTTAACCCCTGGGTCATAACTTAAGTAAATTACTTTAATTCATAAAAGTCTGCTGTCTAGCGCTGGATAGTTTAAATGACCAATTTCAACCATGCACTTTTTTTTCCTTAAATGATGAAGTCAGAGGTCAATTTTGAGAGGTGACCCACACAGAAGTAAACACAGCCTATTGTTGGTAATTAGAAGCTTTTAAAATCTCTTTGTCAAGTTCTTACAAGTCTGTCGTATTTGATACCTGGCTGCTGAAAGTGCAATATCTATTATTTGTCAAATTTTGAGTAAAAGCTTAACAAACCTGCAAATAAGAGGTCAATAGAATTGTAGAGATATTAACTGTTTCAAAAAGAGCATATATATATATATAGTGAATGAGATGAGGTTGTCCTTGCCCGTCTCTGAATGGACAATATGCATTCATACATTAACTATTTCCGTGCAATAACTACAACAAATGTTAACTGATTTTCTTCAAACTTAGTCACAGGGTTAAATGTCTTAAGGGCTCGGCCAAGTTCGATGACCACTTTCAGCGGACCCTATTTGGTGGAGTTATGGCCCCTTGAATAAGAAAAACGTAATTATCTGCTGGGTTTGGTTTCTGTGCAATAACTATAACAAATGTTAACCAATTTTCTTCAAACTTGGTTCGATTTTGATGAAAATTGGTATATAGGGATATTAGGGAACTGTGAATTCAACCCCATCGGTTTCGTTGCCAAAGCTACCACACGGAGGCTTCTGATTGGTTGAAATTTAGATATTTTTTTATTTTTATGAAAAATGGTATATAGGGGTATAAGGGGACTGCGAAAAAACCCTCATAAGTTTCGTTACCATAGCAACCACACGGAGGCTTCTGATTGGTCGAAATTGAGATATTGTTTGATTTCGATGAAAATTGGTATATAAGGATATTAGGGGACTGGGAATTCAATCGCATAGGTTTCGTTGCCATAACAACCATAAAGCAACCACAAGAAGGCTTCTGATTGGTGGACATTCAGATATTGTTCGATTTTGATGAAAATTGTTACAGAGGGGTTGGTATTTATGATCTATTTGAATGACACAGCTTTGCAAGCAAACAACATAATGCGCGCTAGGGTATAAGGGGGCTAGTTAGGGTGTTTCGTTGCCATAGCAACCCCATGGAGGTTTTCTTATTGGTCGAAATTAAGATATTTTCCCTTTTTGATGAAAATTGGTATATAGGGATATTAGGGGATTGCGAATAAAACTATATAAGCAACTACACAGAGGATTCTGATTGGTTGCAATTTAAAAATTGCTCAATTTCACTCAAATTTAGTATGTGCACTGTAGGTGTACTATGGTAATACGATCCTTTTCTGATGCATCTTTGTGACCATGGGGGCAGTTTGGGGGACATCTGTAATGGTCCCCCATTACAATTAGTACATCTTGCTGTAGATATTGTTCAGATGTTTCAACCAAATTCCTTATGCACATCCAACTCATGCTAAGTTTGCCAACCGACGTGATTTGTGCATATTTACAGATAATCAATGAGTTATAGGGCTTTTTTCTTTCTTCAAGTTTCAAGCTATACATTATGTCTCAACAGCACGATACTCGCATGTTTAAACCTAACCTCAATAATGTTGACCTACAATATGTCCTGCAAGTGGGGGATATAAATTCCACGAATTTGCTTGTTTTATGTAGACACAGAAAAGTTCCAAACAAGTTTATTTTCCCTATTTATATTTTTAATCACACCAAAATTTATCCGTTTTTTTTCGTAATTTATTTACAGAGATTTCAGAAGAGCAGCAGGCTCAGATTGATGAATTCCTGGTGTCTGGTGGCAAGAGAGGTCGCGGAAGAGGTCGAGGTCGTGGCAACAGTGGGCGGGGACATATGGGACAATCTGGGCGATTTCCTCCTTACCAAGGTCAAGGCCAGAACTTTGGTCAACAACAGTCCCAGCAATACCAAGGACAGATGTACAACCAGCCACCCAACTACCCACCCCAAGTTCAAGGTCACATGCTTCCACATATGGGACAGGGACAGGGATACCAGAACCAAAGTCAAATGCATCCTGGTCACATGCAAAGTCATCTCAGCCATGTACCGCCATCACAAAGTCATCCAAATGTAGTTCCTTCATCTCGTTCCAGTTATGGTCCATCGAAAATGAGTATTGACGTGAGTGAGAGTCTACAAGGCCACACAAGGCCAGTTCCTCTGACATCTAAATCATCTGTTCCAACCCTATTTACACTGGCAGGGTTGGATAAACCCAAGGCAGTGCAGCCACAGCCCCGCAAGATCCTCATCAACCCTCACTTCCGAGGTCCTGCTCAGCCCCAACAAGACCGGCCCCCTGCCTCTGTTGCTACAAGCATGCCTCACCCTGGACCTCAGATGCCAGGGCCATACCAAGGACCCACTAGTCGACCCCAGAACCATCAACACCCACAGGTATGTCATCAGGTAAAAACCTTCCAACCCAGCACCTAAACTGACCACTTTTCAAGTTATGAAAGGAGAGTTTTAACATACCGTATAAAAGGTTATTTACACTGTTTTGATATTTCGCGATTTTGACACAAAATTAGAAAATTAGATTTATACAGATTTTACTTAAGAGACCGAAACATATGATGGAACTAAATTTTGGCAGTGGTTTAGAAAAGGGACACTCGGCATATAATGTGTCAAATAGACAAATGAATAGGTTTTATTTCAGTAATATTGAGAAACAACGGGTAAGTGGTTATAACCACTGATAAATTAAAACAAATCATCTACAAAGCTGTTGGATGTGTGATATAATCTATTTTCAAACATCATAACTCTTTATCTATATGAATTGTCACAACCACTTGCACGTGACAACGTTACAGTTATGGAGTTTATTAGTGCAAATTTTATTTTCTCAATCATATAACTGACACGGGAAATCGCAAAAATGTCATCCCCATATAAATAACCTGTTAAATGGTATTTTTATAGTGCATGTTCATTATCTCTCATTGGAAAGTTATTAATTAAATTTAAATGAAAAGATGGACAAGTAGAATTTTAGTTCAAGCAATAGCATACTTGCATATTTGTCCTGGCAGAGTTTGACACTAATACTAGTCTGAGGTTAGTAGAAATCATCCAAGAATATTGAATCACCTTACCAATCTTAAAATATTGTTCAATTGAAATCTTAAATCAGAAATTAGACTATCCTTTTCCAAAATATAACATATATAGCATCTAACATTTACCAAATTACCGTAAATATGATCAATATATATTTTGATTGTCAAGATGAATAAAAAATTTATTAACAAAAGAATTTTCTTCATATTAATTAACTTAAATCAGTGACTCCTTTTCTGCGTGATTTGTTTCAGGACCGAGTCTGGCCACCGCACTCCCAGCCATCGGCAGGCCCTCCTTACCCTGTCCATGACACCCCACCTAGGTCCCAGCCCATGGGGGGGTTTCCACAGCCAGCACCAGGATTCCCAGGTATGTTCAAATTAGCCTGTCCACATGAGATCACAGGAAATGGGTGTGGAAGTTTAGGTTATTTTTTGAGGAATTTGTCTTGAACATTGATTTCATAAATATTGTGCCCTCAAAGGTGACATATATAGAAATTACTTATGTCATTGGGCTTTGGCATACAGATGTATTTTTAGGTCACCTGAGCCAAAGGCTCAAGTAACTATTGCAATCACCTTTAGTTTGTCGTTGGTCTTCAATCGTCTGTAAACTATTTACAGTTTTGACTTCTGAAGAACCTGTGAGTGGAACCTTTCAAACATGGTCAGGATCATCCTTGGTGGAAAAGGGTATCAAATCACGAAATTGGGGTTCCTGCCCATACCCCAGGGGCCAGAGTAGGGCCCCAAAGGGAAAATTAATTAATATTTAAAAAAAATCTTCTTCTCCAGACCCTGATGTACTGGATCGAATTCTCTTCATATGGATGGAAAGGTCCTCAGAGACTCTATTTAAATTGTAAATTTCAGTACCTTCGAGTCATCCACTCTTCCTTGTAGAGGGGGTAAAGTTTACTATATAGGGAATTATCTCTTATGGTATATTTTGTCCAATTTGGCAGGGCCCAAAAGAGAAAAATGGCTAAAGGTTCAAAATCTTCTTCTCCAGACTTTGATGTCAAATATACAACATTTGGTATAGCTCATGGACACTATATGTAGCAAGCTAGAACAAGCCACTCTAAAGCACTTTACAGTACATAGATATACAATTTACATAATGTCTACAACATTTGATATAGCGCCTTATCTAGCGAACATAAGCCACTCTAAAGCACTTTGCAGTACATAGATATACAATTACATAATGTATACATTTGATGTAGCGCCCTATCTAGCTAACATAAGACACTCTAAAGCACTTTACAGTACATAGATATACAATTTACGTAATGTATACAACATTTGATATAGCGCCTTATCTAGCGAACATAAGCCACTCTAAAGCACTTTACAGTACATAGATATACAATTTATACAATCAATACAATTAACATATGCATTGAATGATACATTAATCAATATTATTTTGAGGAATTACTACTACTTCTAGTCCTATGCAACCTGGCTCATATTCCATATGTGTGTATGCAGGTGAGTGTGCTGGAGTGTGTTTCATTCGGTTTATAGTGGGACCGTGCTTCCAACAGAATCTTTTGAATTGCTACCCCCCTTGGATGTTATAGCACAGATACTACAAAAAACACCCTTGATAATTAGGTCACCTGAGCTTTGCTCAAGTGACCTATTCTAATCGCTTTTCATCCGTCGTCGTCCGTCGTGCGTCGTGCGTAAACTTTTACATTTTCAACTTCTTCTCAAGAACCAGTGGATGGATTTTTTTCAAACTTGGTCAGAATCATCCTTGGTAGATGAGGATTCAAAATTGTAAAATTGGGATTCCTACCCCAAACCCTGGGGCCAGGGCTGGGCCCCAAAGGGAAAATTAACCAATATTTCAAAAATCTTCTTCTCCAGACTCAGAGGGACTACAGTCATTTTCTCTACATGGAAAGAAAGATCATCAGGGGCTTTACTTAAATTGTAAATTTCAGGACCCCCAAGCTATCCATTCTCCCTTTGGGAAGGGGTAAAGTTTACTATAGTTTATTTAGGGAATTAACACTTTTGGGTATATTTTGACAACTTTCTGTAGGAAATTATTTTTACTTGGTGAGAATTATCCTTGGAGGTAGATGGTTTCAAATTGTAAAATTGAGAATCCTACCCCAACCTGTGGGGCCAGAGCGGGGCCCCAAAGGGAAAATTAACCAATATTTGAAAAATCTTCTTCTCCAGACTAAGAGGTACTACAGTCATTTTCTCTACATGGAAAGAAAGATCATCAGGGGCTTTACTTAAATTGTACATTTCAGGACCCCCGAGCTATACGTTCTCCCTTGGGGAGGGGGTAAAGTTTACTATAGTTTATTTAGGGAATTAACACTTTTGGGTATATTTTGACAACTTTCTGTAGGAAATTATTTTTCCTTGGTGAGAATTATCCTTGGAGTTAGATGGTTTCAAATTATAAAATTGAGAATCCTACCCCATCCTGTGGGGCCAGAGCGGGGCCTCAAAGGGAAAATTAATTAATATTTAAAAAACATCTTCTTCTCCAGACTAAGAGGTACTACAGTCATTTTCTCTGCATGGAAAGGTACTACAGTCATTTTCTCTGCATGGAAAGGTACTACAGTCATTTTCTCTACATGAAAAGAAAGATCATCAGGGGCTTTACTTAAATTGTAAATTTCAGGACCCCCAAGCTATCAAAGGAGGGGGTAAATTTTAAGTTTACTATAGTTTATATAGGGAAATAACACTTTTGGGTATATTTGGACAACTTTCTGTAGGAAATTATTTTTACTTGGTGAGAATTATTCTTGGAGGAAGATGGTTTCAAATTGTAAAATTGAGATTCCTACCCCAACCCCTGGGGCCAGGGCGGGGCCCCAAAGGGAAAATTAACCAATATTTCAAAAATCTTCTTCCCCAGACTCAGAGGTACTACAGTCATTTTCTCTACATGGAAAGAAAGATCATCAGGGGCTTTACTTAAATTGTAAATTTCAGGACCCCCAAGCTATTCAAGGAGGGGGTAAATTTTAAGTTTACTATAGTTTATATATGGAAATAACACTTTTGGGTATATATTTTATCCATTTTCTGCAGAAAATTACTCAAACTTAGTCAGAATCAACTTTGGTGAATGAGAGTATTACTTTGTTAAATTGGGATTCCTGCCCCATCCCCAGGGGCCGGTGGGGCCCCAAAGGGAACATTTACCAATATTTTCAAATTCTTATCCTTTGATGACATGACAAGTATTGTATTTCACTTAGTTTACCTGCTGATTTCCACATCACATCTAAACAATAAAATAAAGTTACCAGTACCTATGATATAACTCAGGTGACTGCTAAGGCCCTTGGGCCTCTTGTTAATTATATAGCTACACGTAGATCCATTGAGCAGGTAAATAAATATGTTTCCTGATATTAAAATATATCAAATACTATAGCTGTCAGAGCCGCACCTACAACCAGTAGTTTATATCTGGCAGGAGTCTCATTATAGCCATAATCACGGTATGTATAAATTAACCCTAGAAGAGATTGTACTAAACAAGGCTTTCAAAATTTTCACAAAATCAAAATTAATTCAAACAAACTCATCTTGCGATGTCACCAATCGTCTCCAATCCCGTGGCACTCGAAAGTGAGATAGTTAACTCCAAAGTTAATAACCAGGTCCCGTACACTCTGCCGATTGAGCTATATAGCTGTAAAGACCTATAATAGCTTTATTGACCTACATTGTATCTGAAATAGGTCTTTTGAGCTATTTTCGTGTAATTTTCTTTTTTAAGGAAAATGAAACAAAGTCGCTTTAAAAAGAAGATTTTATCATTAGGTTGATAACAAAAGACATTAAATGTAAGTATTCTTTTAAAAAAAAAAGGATGTAAAAAAATTGGAAATTTTACGTTTATGAAAAATGCAAATAAACATCTAAATGTATGCTTTTTGTAGTCAACATTACCATAAACCTTATTGTTTCATGCGACTTTGCTTTAATTTAATGAAAATTGAAATCTGAGAAAATATAGCTCAATACAGCTTTAACTTATAGGTGAATAAAGCTATATAGGTCTTTATAGCTTTATAGCTCAATCGGCAGAGTGTACTGGACCTGATAACGTTAACGTCTGCAACTGAAAGGCCACTCCCGACTTCAAAAGCACTAGAATAGTGAGGCGATTTGCTTTTTTTTATTGTCCGATTGGTATGTTTCAAAAACGACTGCCATTAAATTAGTTGCAGGGGCCGCCGCCATCAAACGTTTGTCACCGGCGTGATCACATTTATTAAACTTTAATGCAAGCACTGTTGTGTGTAGGGAAGCCGTCTTAAAACACAGTCCGTGTCGAAAGAGTGCTTGAATACACTGATCTGCAACAGGGGCCTGTTCGTTTATGCGGAACAACCGGTCTGTCTGTTTTTAAATGTAATATTTTCGGGTATAAATCCTGTCGGGCCTGCAAATGTTTATGCAGGCCTTGCAATGCTTTGTCAAGGCTCACCTGAAAGCAGCATCAGCTTACAAGGTCCAACCTTATTTCATAAACGAACAACTCTGGTACAACCGGTCCAACCGTATGGATCGCGATAAACGAAAGCGGCCCAGTATCGATTGAATGACCCTGATTGTGTCTAAAATGTAAAACGGTAACAAAAAGCCGGAAATTCCGGAATTTTTTCCCGTAATATTGTTAGGGTCGGCGGTAAAATTAGGGTCGGTCGGGTAACCAGAAACAACCATATTTTTTTGATAGGCCTAATGAGATCTTTCCGATATTGTAATGATTGGATCTATTTCTCTTACATTTAAAGAACTGTTCTAGTAAATATGTGAAACGGAGCATCTACTCTTTTCATGACTTGATCAAACAGATAAGAGAAAAGAAGAGAAAAGATCAAGCTGACATAAACTAATGAAGATGGTACAATGGTGGGCGCCGAGATCCATCTCTTGTTGCTATATTTTCTCCATTTTTAGCTAGAATTAATTCAAACTGAATTAGCTGGAATTAAATTCAGTGAAATTAAAAATTATCAGAAAATAAGATATGGTCCTTCACCAGGGTTGGTTATCATGGAAAATTGACAATATATATTATATTTCTCAATTGCAAAATATTTGTTTATTATTTTCTTTGGTGACATGACAAGTAACGTATTTCTCATTGTTTACACGCTTATTTCTTCTTCACTTCTCAACAACAAAACCTACCTTTTGATATAACTCAGGTGACGTTAAGGCTATTGGGTCTCTTGCTTTCTTTACATGGGTAAATTGCAATCAGCTGTCATATGACTGTGATGACTTTTTGAAAGTATTAAGATCAGGTATGACCTGAGATGATTCAGTGAGAGTCCTTTGGATGTATTGGACAAAAGTTAAGGGGTAGTGATATTTCTAAAACTTTATACAAATCATTTGAATACTAAAAGTACAAATCTTTTCTTATGCCTCTGAGGGTTTCTTATGAAATTTGTTTTGGTTTGGTATATGTGACACATGGTGTGTATTTTTAGACAAAAGCACCAATCAACAAAATAGCTCTTTTGCAAAACATGAACCAGGACAATTTGTCTAATCCACATTCATAGTTGTGGGTCTGATAATACAACAAGAAATTGATTTTTTTAGCTGACAGCTCTGTGCGAGATGGTAAGTGGTACTGATGCATGGTTTCGCTGTTCTTTGATTACCCTTTATTAAATATATAACACTTCTAGTCTATTTTTATCCTGATGTCCGATGATACATTTAAGATGATCTCTAACATACGATTTTAATTGTTTCTGATTTTTATAGTGAGTGTTTGGAGATAAGTAAAATAATTCCTGGGTGTTTTTTGGCATGAAATTTCGATTGAGATATTCATCAACCAGCACCGTATCGGAGATTATATGGGTGCCCTATAGTAATCACTCTGTCTGTCTGTCTGTCTGTCCACAAATTTTGTTCCTGGCTGATAACTTTGGTATCTATGGACCGATGGACATGAAACTTGGTCAAGATGTTCAGTTCACAAAAATACACATTGAGGTAAAAAGTCAAGGTCAAAGGGCAAGGTCATTAGGTTCAAAGGTCAAGCTCAAATTTTACACCTTTTCACTGATGAACATTTTGTTATGACATTATGAAGCAAAGTTGATCAGAATTAAACAAGGAGTCAACTGACCTAAGGTCAAGGTCATCGGGTCAGGGGGTCAAGGTCAAATTTTGTAGCTTTTCACTGGTGAACATTTCGCTATGATACTTTGAAGCAATGTTGCTAAGAATTAAAAAAAGAGTCAATTGACCAAAGGTCCAGGTCAAGGGGTCCAAAGGGTCAAGGTCAAGTTTTGTATTTTTCACTGATGAACATTTTGTTATGACATTATGAAGCAATGTTGGTCTGAATTCAAGAATAAGTCAACTGACTAAAGATCAGGGTCACTGGGTTAATGGTCAAGGTCATTTGGGTCCAAAGGTCAAAGACAAAGTTGATCTCTGACTTTGACCCTGGCTCTTGATGGAGGAGGTTTATAAGGTAAAATAAAACAAATCAAAGCTAACAAATGAGTGTTGCACTGGTATTTACATTTCTGTTAGCCCAGCAAATATGGAGGTGGGAGGAAACTAGACTCACATCATAGTACATGTAAAATGTATATTTTGCTTCCTGGCGTTTCATTTTGAAGTCCAAATGTCAAACTTCAAGCTCAGCTATATGGGCAGATCGCTTCTTGATGATTATGGGGGATATATTGCCACAAGACGGGGCCCTTACTGACCTGTCAGTGTTCTAGTTATTCTTCTATGCCTAATTTCAATTCTTAATGAAAGAGCTTATTTTAAAAGTATTAAAAGAATAACAGAAAATGGCAGCTGAAAATTTTGGTTTTCCTAAAAAGAAAATCCTATTTGAATCACTTGACCTGCTTTTTCAAGAATCAGTTGGAAATACTGGCATTGGAGACCATGTTGAAGATAATGGTATGTGCAAGAGGTTGCAGCTTTTGAATTTGTTCTTGTTTTGTTCATATGTTCAAATTATGAAATGACCTTGTCCCTGCCTTTTTAAATTACTTCGGGGTTTTACTTTTAATTGGTCCCTCGGTGTACAATTTCCATCAGTCCAACACCCGGGAACAGTAAATGTTTTGTGGAGCTTGTTAAACTTTTCAATATTTAATGAACTAATATAAGTTAATTAGCTGGTAAAAATATTTCAGAAACTGCTTGTTGGCTAGAACTCATGAGATTGTACACCCTGTGGTCTATCTACCTGTCACTCATTGCCTCAATATACATGTATTTAGATTTTCACCACTTTTGGTGTGCATTTGTGTGATGCCAATGTCTATGCTAAACTTGAAGGTGACTGGCATGGAATCTTCTCCTTTTTAATGAGGTCACCGGTACTGCCTCAAATTGATTGGTCTTTCTTATTCACATACAAGATTTTCACCAAATTGTCTCCAGGACAAGGTAAATTATGAGTAAAATCTGTGATTTAGTTCCTTCGGAACATACTTTCTCAGTTCTGTTTGGCCGAAGCTTTCTGATAAATGGTACTGTGTACTCCAGCACATCACAGTGGTGGTGGGGGGAGGGGGGGGGGGGGCATGAACTCCTCCACAACGTTGCTTGTTCACATTGTCTCCCAGATTGAAATTTTATTTTTTTGTTGACAGCAGTTTGATTACAGTGGAACTATTATTAATTTAAAATTTAATTTTGATAACATAAAAAATGGAATTATACTTATGTAAATAACTAGAATATATATTTTTAGCTTGATTATAAAATCTTGCAGGTAAATAATTATTAACAAATAATTGCTATAAATATGGGGATTGTTTCACTTTATAAAAAGTATACAGATAAAAAAAAAATCTCAATGGTAATAAAATAATTGGTTTTCCCTGTGTTTTTGTAACTGACATAATTATTCTCAAATCATTTTGAAACAACAAAGAGTAGGTAGTTCATTTCAAGCTCACTGGCTTCTTGTTCAATATGTTCGTGCAGATATCTTCAAGTTGGTGATGTTATCTTTTGTACAAACTAATACTTTCAAGTTGGTGATTTTATCTTTTGTACAAACAGGTGGGCCACGGCCTCAGCAAGGTTTTCCTCAGAACAATGGACCTCCTAACATGTTTCCTGGTGGTCCCTCTGGCCCTAGGGGGGCACAACCAGCCTTGAACCACCCCCAGATGGGTATGTTACCCCCTGGGCACCCACAACATCGTCCCCAGGGCCCATTCCCTGGCCCCATGGATATGGCCCGGTATGGAACTCCCCATCAGCAGCAGCATCAGCACAGATTCCAGTCTCCAGCAAGCATGAACCAGTTCAATAATCCACCTCGACAGCTCCAGCCTGGACCTGGAGGACATGGAATCCCTGCTCATCCTCATCAGCACCCAAGGGGCACTCAATTTCCCCCTCACATGAATCAGAGTCAACGCCCACCCCATCAGGGTGGTCCAAGACCACAGTTCCATCCGAACCAACAGGGTAGCCATGGTAACCAAGCTAATCGGGGAACTCAAGGTAACCAGCAGCGCTTCCAGCCTCCAGCACCACCAAATCAGATGATGCCAATGCATAATCATCCAAACCAACAGCCTCGCCACCCCATGCAGCACCAGCCCAGGCAACAACAACCACGCCAACAACAACCACGCCAGCAACAGCCATGCCAGCAACAACCACGCCAGCAACAACCACGCCAACAACAGCCTCGCATGCAGAACACTAATCGACAGAATCAGTTCCAACCCAGACAGCAGTTCAGTGGCAACAAAAGAAAGTATGTTTTGATTGAATGATTTACACTTGGGTAGAAAACAATTCAGTTTGTCATACTATGTTGTTCTTAGGGCTATTCCATTAAAATCCCCCCCCCCCGGGAAGGCACTTTTTTTTTCAGGGGGACCACTCACAGAAGTGGGGGTTTTCCAGGAGGTACATGGCAAAGAACTATATTTCTGGGTTTTAGGACCACCCATAGAAGCAATATGTTTCTATTAATTCGTATATTCAAGTCTTATATATATATATATATTGCATCAATGTCAATTCCAAATGATGTATTATAACTCTAATCGTTTTTTGGTTTAAAATTACCGAAAAGCTTTACATGCACCTGACTTTCACCATTTTATAAACTGACGACTTTTTATCTGTAAAATATCAGCCAAAAACTAGACATGCTGTTCTGAGTCCAAATCAGAGGCCACAAACACCTACATTTCCATATGTCATCAATTGCGAACTACCTATAAGGGGAAAAGTTAACCGACACACGAGGTCGTTGACATTTGGGTAATCATATACTCAGTTGGTTTCATCATGATTTATACGTCAGCTTATTGCAAAACCAATCGATTTTTGAATGATATATCTCTTACATTCCAGTAAAAATTGAGTTGTACCTCTAAGTTTCCCTGTTACGGTCCCTAACTCATTCAACTGGAAAGCTTGGAGTGTGGAACAGGTATGCGGCTGGCTCCCAGCCCTGTTCCACACTCCAAGCTTTCCAGTCCGCCATCTTCTTTTGAAAGCCCCATATGTAATGTAGGCGTTATCACCCCTTAACCATTTGAGAAAATCGCAATCGTGATGTGAGCGTTTCCCGACATTGAAATAAAAAAAAAGACAAAACATGAAATAAAAAAAAAGACAAAACACGAAATAAAAAAAAAGACAAAACACGAATAAAAAAGACTAAACACATGCTATCTTCCCAGATTAGCTGTGGGTTTGATGTACTGCAACAATGCCAGAGATGTTATTTAAAATGAAGGATAATTATAGACCATGAACAGAAGTGATTTTCTCCAGATCAGCATGTGGTACAGAATCTTTTTATTTTGCTCACGCCAACCATGCACAGAAGTTCTATATTTTGCCGTCCGGGGGTTAGGTGTATGTTTTAATGGAATAGCCCTGATCAATTGTTTGAGGGAAACATCATGAAAAGTAAAACAATTTGTAATCAACCAATGGAGGGATTTTGACTTAATTTGTTCTAGAGCATCTTTGGACAAAGAGGTCTCGATCATATATATAAACACTGGGTGTGGCCCACCTGGGGTCAGAGGGGCAAAGTCCAATAGGGGAAATAGAGGAATATCATTCTCCTTCTGTACAAATGAAGGGATTTAAACCAAAGATTGTCTGGAGCATAAGGTAAAAAGACTGTATTTTTGTCTAAACTGAGGCTGTAAAAGACTATTTGTTTTGTAAACTGAGGCTCCGGCCCCCTTCTGGGGGCAGAAAGGGGAGGCCCAATAGGGGAAATAGAAGAAAATGTTTCACCTTCTGTACAAATGAAGGGATTTAAACAAAATCTGAAGCATGCTTAGGGAAAAGGACTTGTTTTATATGCAGAGACTGTGGCCCCGTTTAAGGCAGATGGGTGTGGCCCAATAGGGGAAATAGAGAAAAAAGATAAAATCCTTCTCCTTTTGTACCAATGAAGAGATTTTAACCAAACCTGTTTAAGAGCATCTTTAGATAAAGGATATCAGTCTTTTATTAACAAGAGGATGTGTCAGACCACATTTGCCACAGTCTCCGTAGCATGCTTCAGATTTTTTTCAGATAGGGGAATTAGAGGAAAATCTTTCTCCTTCAGAACAAATAAAGATATTTAATTGAGCTCAGGTGTGGTCTGGAGCATCCTTAGTCAAAGATGACTCAATATTGAAGGCTGTGCACCCTATTTCTGGGCAGAAAGATGGGGCCCAATAGGGGAACTAGAGGAAAATATTTAAAATCCTTCCACTTTAGTACCAATGAAGGGATTTTAACCAAATTTGGACTTGATAATCTTTGGGAAAAGGGAATTAAGATTTGTCTTCACAAAGGACGTTGCCCCATAGGGACAGAGGTGATCAAATAGGGAAAATAGAGGGACATTTTTATCCTTCTGTACAAATGAAGGGATTCAAACCAAATGTGGTCTAAAGCATCCTTAGTGAAAGAGGACTAAATTTTGTATAAATTGAGGCCTAGGTTCCCCATTCGAGATGAGGGGAAATTAAACCCTTCTCTTTATGTACCAAAAAAAGGATTTTAACCAAACATGTTCTAGAGCATCTTTCAGCAAAGAGTATTAAATTTTGTATAAACAGTGTGTGGGCCAATAGGGGAAATAGAGTTTAACATTTTTAAAAGCTTTATACCTTCTGTTTGAAAAGAGGGTTTATCACCAAATTTGTTATAGATCATCTGTAGGCAACAGGGACTTAATTGTATATAAATGGAGGGTGTGGCCCCATTGAGGCAGAGGGCGGGGCCCAATATTGTATAAAAAAGAAACTATTTTTAATATCTTCCTCTTTCAATTTAAATCGAGGGATTTTAACCAATTTTGGTCAAGAGAACCTGCAGGCAAAGACAACTAAATTTGGTATAAATGGAGATTGTTGCCCCCAAGTGGGCAGAGGGATGTGGCCCAATAAGGGAAATAGAGGTAAATCAATAAAATCTTTCACCTTCCATATGAATTAAGGGATTTTCCCCCACCCTATAACCAAATATACAACTGCTATCCCCTTGCATTGAGCTAGTGGAATTGTACATCACTGTATAAAATTAGCAAAGCATTCACTTTTTTTTTTGGTGAATGCATCTTTTTTATACATATAGTAATTGTAAAATTTCAAATGAATGGTAAAAGTATTCTTCTAAATTACAGCTTTAACCGAAATGCTCAGGAGGATAGTCAGGAGATTCAGAGTATCCAGGTTATCAGTCGAGGAAAACGTCAGTCAGTAGACAAGGACAAAGGAGAACACTCACCTGCTAAAATAGCCAAGTCAGAGGTAAGATAAGCTGTAGTAAAAATAATAGGATCAGTATACTTTGGTACAAAGTCAGAAATAGGAAATATTATAATAGGATCAGTATACTTTGGTACAAAGTCAGAATTAGGAAATATTATAATAGGATCAGTATACTTTGGTACAAAGTCAGAAATAGGAAATATTATAATAGGATCAGTATACTTTGGTACAAAGTCAGAAATAGGAAATATTATAATAGGATCAGTATACTTTGGTACAAAGTCAGAAATAGGAAATATTATAATAGGATCAGTATACTTTGGTACAAAGTCAGAAATAGGAAATATTATAATAGGATCAGTATACTTTGGTACAAAGTCAGAAATAGGAAATATTATAATAGGATCAGTATACTTTGGTACAAAGTCAGAAATAGGAAATATTATAATAGGATCAGTATACTTTGGTACAAAGTCAGAAATAGGAAATATTATAATAGGATCAGTATACTTTGGTACAAAGTCAGAAATAGGAAATATTATAATAGGATCAGTATACTTTGGTACAAAGTCAGAAATAGGAAATATTATAATAGGATCAGTATACTTTGGTACAAAGTCAGAAATAGGAAATATTATAATAGGATCAGTATACTTTGGTACAAAGTCAGAAATAGGAAATATTATAATAGGATCAGTATACTTTGGTACAAAGTCAGAAATAGGAAATATTATAATAGGATCAGTATACTTTGGTACAAAGTCAGAAATAGGAAATATTATAATAGGATCAGTATACTTTGGTACAAAGTCAGAAATAGGAAATATTATAATAGGATCAGTATACTTTGGTACAAAGTCAGAAATAGGAAATATTATAATAGGATCAGTATACTTTGGTACAAAGTCAGAAATAGGAAATATTATAATAGGATCAGTATACTTTGGTACAAAGTCAGAAATAGGAAATATTATAATAGGATCAGTATACTTTGGTACAAAGTCAGAAATAGGAAATATTATAATAGGATCAGTATACTTTGGTACAAAGTCAGAAATAGGAAATATTATAATAGGATCAGTATACTTTGGTACAAAGTCAGAAATAGGAAATATTATAATAGGATCAGTATACTTTGGTACAAAGTCAGAAATAGGAAATATTATAATAGGATCAGTATACTTTGGTACAAAGTCAGAAATAGGAAATATTATAATAGGATCAGTATACTTTGGTACAAAGTCAGAAATAGGAAATATTATAATAGGATCAGTATACTTTGGTACAAAGTCAGAAATAGGAAATATTATAATAGGATCAGTATACTTTGGTACAAAGTCAGAAATAGGAAATATTATAATAGGATCAGTATACTTTGGTACAAAGTCAGAAATAGGAAATATTATAATAGGATCAGTATACTTTGGTACAAAGTCAGAAATAGGAAATATTATAATAGGATCAGTATACTTTGGTACAAAGTCAGAAATAGGAAATATTATAATAGGATCAGTATACTTTGGTACAAAGTCAGAAATAGGAAATATTATAATAGGATCAGTATACTTTGGTACAAAGTCAGAAATAGGAAATATTATAATAGGATCAGTATACTTTGGTACAAAGTCAGAAATAGGAAATATTATAATAGGATCAGTATACTTTGGTACAAAGTCAGAAATAGGAAATATTATAATAGGATCAGTATACTTTGGTACAAAGTCAGAAATAGGAAATATTATAATAGGATCAGTATACTTTGGTACAAAGTCAGAAATAGGAAATATTATAATAGGATCAGTATACTTTGGTACAAAGTCAGAAATAGGAAATATTATAATAGGATCAGTATACTTTGGTACAAAGTCAGAAATAGGAAATATTATAATAGGATCAGTATACTTTGGTACAAAGTCAGAAATAGGAAATATTATAATAGGATCAGTATACTTTGGTACAAAGTCAGAAATAGGAAATATTATAATAGGATCAGTATACTTTGGTACAAAGTCAGAAATAGGAAATATTATAATAGGATCAGTATACTTTGGTACAAAGTCAGAAATAGGAAATATTATAATAGGATCAGTATACTTTGGTACAAAGTCAGAAATAGGAAATATTATAATAGGATCAGTATACTTTGGTACAAAGTCAGAAATAGGAAATATTATAATAGGATCAGTATACTTTGGTACAAAGTCAGAAATAGGAAATATTATAATAGGATCAGTATACTTTGGTACAAAGTCAGAAATAGGAAATATTATAATAGGATCAGTATACTTTGGTACAAAGTCAGAAATAGGAAATATTATAATAGGATCAGTATACTTTGGTACAAAGTCAGAAATAGGAAATATTATAATAGGATCAGTATACTTTGGTACAAAGTCAGAAATAGGAAATATTATAATAGGATCAGTATACTTTGGTACAAAGTCAGAAATAGGAAATATTATAATAGGATCAGTATACTTTGGTACAAAGTCAGAAATAGGAAATATTATAATAGGATCAGTATACTTTGGTACAAAGTCAGAAATAGGAAATATTATAATAGGATCAGTATACTTTGGTACAAAGTCAGAAATAGGAAATATTATAATAGGATCAGTATACTTTGGTACAAAGTCAGAAATAGGAAATATTATAATAGGATCAGTATACTTTGGTACAAAGTCAGAAATAGGAAATATTATAATAGGATCAGTATACTTTGGTACAAAGTCAGAAATAGGAAATATTATAATAGGATCAGTATACTTTGGTACAAAGTCAGAAATAGGAAATATTATAATAGGATCAGTATACTTTGGTACAAAGTCAGAAATAGGAAATATTATAATAGGATCAGTATACTTTGGTACAAAGTCAGAAATAGGAAATATTATAATAGGATCAGTATACTTTGGTACAAAGTCAGAAATAGGAAATATTATAATAGGATCAGTATACTTTGGTACAAAGTCAGAATTAGGAAATATTATAATAGGATCAGTATACTTTGGTACAAAGTCAGAATTAGGAAATATTATAATAGGATCAGTATACTTTGGTACAAAGTCAGAAATAGGAAATATTATAATAGGATCAGTATACTTTGGTACAAAGTCAGAAATAGGAAATATTATAATAGGATCAGTATACTTTGGTACAAAGTCAGAATTAGGAAATATTATAATAGGATCAGTATACTTTGGTACAAAGTCAGAATTAGGAAATATTATAATAGGATCAGTATACTTTGGTACAAAGTCAGAAATAGGAAATATTATAATAGGATCAGTATACTTCAGGTACAAAGTCAGAATTAGGAAATATTATAATAGGATCAGTATACTTCAGACAAAGTTGGAGAAATGATGGCTTATGATATGGTTGAAATATCCAGAATAAATCAGTTCAGAGCATGTTTAAATGGACAAAGATCCATTGTATTACAATTGTTTGTGGTACAAGATGTGTATTTGGTTAAGAATCACATGGTGAGCTACAGCTTACGTTTTATTTGAAGGAGATTGTTGACCCTGTGTTAAAGGCAAAGTTAGAAGAGCAAAAGAGAAAGAGAGACCATATTATACGTTTAAAGGAAGCAAGAAGACAGGCTTTAGCTGGTGAACGGAGATCTCAGCTAGAACGAAAACTGGCAGAGGAAGGTGTGTAGACATGTGTGGATCACACTCAAATTATACATTTTATTTTTTTTTCTGCTTAGGCCAAAATAAATTGATTACTTGGTTCTCAGGCCCGCGCCCATTTCATTTTAGGGCACTGCATTGCTGATTTTATCGTGAAAGTAATAAAAAAGTAATTGTGAATGCGCCAGCCGCCGTCTTTAAAAAATTGTTGAAAATTGGTCCGCATGTCGTTTTTACTCGTTAGTCACCCAAGTCCCGAAAAGATACGGATTGATATACAGGCAAGCGTTAAAATGATTATGACTTATTAGTCTTGCGTACAAATGGCACTCATTTCGGTACAAATAAGGAATGATTCTCGTCTGGAACATCGTGGGGGGATTTTCGGAGGCTTGCTCTATGTAGAGTAGAAAAAAATCGCCCTTGTCTCGTTTTTGCCATCTAAATGGGGGGAAAAATACCGCCCTGCCGCATCTCTTTTAAAAAAAATTGGCCTGAGAACCAAGTAATTAATTTTATTTGGCCTTATCACAAATCTATCATAAATGACAATCCAAGGGAGAGGCTGAAACAGGTCTTCATAAGCAGGTGGTATTAATTAATGATTGTTACAGACAGGTAATTGTTGACTGGATAGGGTGTTATATAAAACATAACATTGTTCTTTATATGAAGGTTGTCGTTATTGATGGATGTTTGTTATAAACAGGTGATCATAATTCATGGCTATTTTTTACAGACATGTAATTGTTGACTGGATAGGGTGTTTTGTAAAACTTAACATTGTTCTTTATATGAAGGTTGTCGTTATTGATGGATGTTTGTTATAAACAGGTGATCATAATTGATGGCTATTTTTTTATAGACAGGTAATTGTTGATTGGATAGGGTGTTATAGAAAACATAAGAGTGTTCTTTATATGAAGGTTGTCGTTATTGATGGATGTTGGTTATAAACAGGTGGTCATAATTAGGGCCCCGTATCAGAGATACGGGTGCCCTTTAGTAATCACTCTGTCTGTCTGTCCACAAATTTTGTTCCTGGCTGATAACTTTATTATTTATTGACCTATGTACATGAAACTTGGTCAAGATGTTCAGTTCACAAAAATACACATTGAGGTTAAAAGTCCAGGTCAAAGGTCAAGGTCATAAGGTTCAAAGGTCAAGGTCAAATTTTACATCTTTTCACTGATGAACATTTTGTTATGACATTATGAAGCAAAGTTGATCGGAATTAAACAATGAGTCAACTGACCAAAGGTCAAGGTCAGGGGTCAAGGTCATATTTTGTAGCTATTCACTGGTGAACATTTCGCTATGACATTATGAAGCAAAGTTGTTCGGAATTAAACAAAGAGACACACTGAGGTAAAAAGTCGAGGTCAAAGGTCAAGGTAATTAGATTCAAAGGTCAAGGTCAAATTTTACATCTTTTCACTGATGAACATTTTGTTATGACATGATGAAGCAAAGTTGATCAGAATTAAACAAGGCGTCAACTGTTGAAAGGTCAAGGTCATTGGGTCAAAGGTCAAGGTTAAATGTATCTTTTCACTGGTGAACATTGCGCTATGACACTTTGAAGCAATGTTGCTCAGAATTAAACAAGGAGTCAATTGACCAAAGGTCAAGGTCACTGGGACAAAGGTAAAGGTTAAATTTTGTACATTTGCCCTGATGAACATTTTGTTATGACATTATGAAGCAATGTTGTTCAGAATTTAACACAGAGTCAACTGACCTTAGGTCCAGGTTACGGGGTCCAAAGGGTCAAGGTCAAGTTTTGTATTTTTCACTGATGAACATTTTGTTATGATATTAAGAAGCAAAGTTTGTCGGAATTAAAGAATAAGTCAACTGACCAAAGATCAGGGTCACTGGGTTAAATGCTCAAGGTCTTTTGGGTCCAAAGGTCAAAGACAAAGTTGATCTCTGACTTTGACCCTGGCTCTTGATGGAGGAGGTAAATAAGGTGAAATAAAACAAATCAAAGCTAACAAATGAGTATTGCACCAGTATTTATATTCTGTTAGTCCAGTAAATATGGAGGTGGAAGGAAACAAGACTCACATCATAGTACATGTAAAATGTATATTTTGATTCTATTTGAAGTCCAAATGTCAAACGTCAAGCTCAGCTACATGTATATGGGCAGATTGCTTCTTGGTGATTATGGGGGATATATTGCCACAAGACGGGGCCCTTACTGACCTGTCAGTGTTCTAGTTGATGGCTGATTTTTATAGACAGGTAATTGTTGACTGGATAGGGTGTTATGTAAAACATAAGATTGTTCTTTATATGAAGGTTGACGTTATTGATGAATGTTTGTTATAAACTGGTGATCATAATTCATGGCTGATTTTTATTGACAGGTAATTGTTGACTTGATAGGGTGTTATGTAAAACATAACATTGTTCTTTATATGAAGGTTGACGTTATTGATGGATGGTTGTTATAAACTGGTGATCATAATTCATGGCTGATTTTTATTGACAGGTAATTGTTGACTGGATAGGGTGTATGTAAAACATAACATTGTTCTTTATATGAAGGTTGTTGTAATTGATAAATGGTTGTTATAAACAGGTGATCATTATTGATGGCTGATTTTTACAGACAGGTACGTAATTGTTGACTGGATAGGGTGTTATGTAAAACTTAACATTGGTCTTTATATGAAGGTTGTTATTGATAAATGGTTGTTATCAACAGGTGATCATAATTCATGGCTGATTTTTATTGACAGGTAATTGTTGACTGGATAGGGGGTTATGTAAAACTTAACATTGGTCTTTATATGAAGGTTGTTATTGATAAATGGTTGTTATCAACAGGTGATCATAATTCATGGCTGATTTTTATAGACAGGTAATTGTTGACTGGACAGGGTGTTATGTAAAACATAACATTGTTCTTTATATGAAGGTTGTTGTAATTGATAAATGGTTGTTATAAACAGGAGATCATTATTGATGGCTGATTTTTACAGACAGGTACGTAATTGTTGACCGGATAGGGTGTTATGTAAAACTTAACATTGGTCTTTATATGAAGGTTGTTATTGATAAATGGTTGTTATCAACAGGTGATCATAATTCATGGCTGATTTTTATAGACAGGTAATTGTCGACTGGATAGGGTGTTATGTAAAGCTTAACATTGTTCTTTATATGTAGGTTATTATTGATAAATGGTTGTTATAAACAGGTGATCATTATTGATAGCTGATTTTTACAGACATGTAATTGTTGACGGGATAGGGTGGTATGTAAAGCTTAACATTGTTCTTTATATGAAGGATGTTATTGATAAATGGTTGTTATAAACAGGTGATCATTATTGATGGCTGATTTTTACAGACAGGTAAGTAATTGTTGACTGGATAGGGTGTTATGTAAAGCTTAACATTCTTCTTTATATGAAGGTTATTATTGATAAATGGTTGTTATAAACAGGTGATCATAATTGATAGCTGATTTTTATAGACAGGTAATTGTTGACTGGATAGGGTGTTATGTAAAACTTAACATTGGTCTTTATATGAAGGTTGTTATTGATAAATGGTTGTTATAAACAGGTGATCATAATTGATAGCTGATTTTTATAGACAGGTAATTGTTGACTGGATAGGGTGTTATGTAAAACTTAAGATTGTTCTTTATATGAAGGTTGTCGTTATTGATGAATGTTTGTTATAAACAGGTGATCATAATTGATTGCTGATTTTTATAGACAGGTAATTGTTGACTGGACAGGGTGTTATGTAAAACATAACATTGTTCTTTATATGAAGGTTGTCGTTATTGATGGATGGTTGTTATAAACAGGTGGGCATTATTGATATCTAATTTTTATAGACAGGTAATTGTTGACTGTATATGGTGTTATGTAAAACTTAACATTGGTCTTTATATGAAGGTTATCGTTATGGATGAGTGGTTGTTATACACAGGTGATCATAATTCATGGCTGATTTTTATTGACAGGTAATTGTTGACTGGATAGGGTGGTATGTAAAACATAACATTGTTCTTTATATGAAGGTTGTTGTAATTGATAAATGTTTGTTATAAACAGGTGATCATAATTGATAGCTGATTTTTATAAACAGGTAATTGTTGACTGGATAGGGTGTTATGTAAAGCTTAACATTGTTCTTTATATGAAGGTTGTCGTTATTGATGGATGGTTGTTATAAACAGGTGGTCATTATTGATATCTAATTTTTATAGACAGGTAATTGTTGACTGGATATGGTGTTATGTAAAACTTAACATTGGTCTTCATATGAAGGTTATCGTTATGGATGAGTGGTTGTTATACACAAGTGATCATAATTCATGGCTGATTTTTATTGACAGGTAATTGTTGACTGGATAGGGTGTTATGTAAAACTTAACATTGGTCTTTATATGAAGGTTATCGTTATGGATGAGTGGTTGTTATACACAAGTGATCATAATTCATGGCTGATTTTTATTGACAGGTTAATTGTTGACTGGATAGGGTGTTATGTAAAACATAAGAGTGGTCTTTATATGAAGGTTGTCATTATTGATGGGTGGTTGTTATAAACTGGTGATCATAATTCATGGCTGATTTTTATTGACAGGTAATTGTTGACTGGATAGGGTGTTATGTAAAACTTAAGATTGTTCTTTATATGAAGGTTGTCGTTATTGATGGATGGTTGTTATAAACTGGTGATCATAATTCATGGCTGTTTTTTATTGACAGGTAATTGTTGACTGGATAGGATGTTATGTAAAGCTTAACATTGTTCTTTATATGGAGGTTGTCGTGATTGATGAATGTTTGTTATCAACGGGTGATCATTATTGATTGCTGATTTTTATAGACAGGTAATTGTTGACTGTATAGGGTGTATGTAAAACATAACTTTGTTCTTTATATGAAGGTTGTCGTTATTGATGGATTTTTGTTATAAACAGGTGATCATTATTGATAGCTGATTTTTACAGACATGTTATTGTTGACTGGATAGGGTGTTATGTAAAACTTAAGATTGTTCTTTATATGGAGGTTGTCGTGATTGATGAATGTTTGTTATCAACAGGTGATCATTATTGATTGCTGATTTTTATAGACAGGTAATTGTTGACTGGATAGGGTGTTATGTAAAACTTAACATTGGTCTTTATATGAAGGTTGTCGTTATGGATGAGTGGTTGTTATAAACAGGTGATCATAATTGATGGCTGATTTTTATAGACAGGTAATTGTTGACTGGATAGGGTGTTATGTAAAGCTTAACATTGTTCTTTATATGAAGGTTGTTATTAATAAATGGTTGTTATAAACAGCTGATCATAATTGATGGCTGATTTTTACAGATAGGTAATTGTTGACTGGATAGGGTGTTATGTAAAACTTTAGATTGTTCTTTATATGAAGGTTGTCGTGATTGATGAATGTTTGTTATCAACAGGTGATCATTATTGATTGCTGATTTTTATAGACAGGTAATTGTTGACTGGATAGGATGTTATGTAAAGCTTAACATTG